AAACCACAGTTAATAGCTCTGCAATTTCCTATTTGAGTTCTTTCAGAATTCATGGGTGAATGCCATCTGGTCCTGGTGACTTGTTACTATGAAGTTTATCAATTTGTTCTAAAACCTCCTCTAAAAACACCACAATCTGGGACAATTCCTCATATTTGACTGTTAAAAAGAATGGTTCATGTCTGGGAACCTCCCCAATATCCTCAGCCGTGAAGATTGAGGCAAATAATTCATTTATCTTCTCCACTATTATTTTATCATCTTTGAATGCTCCTTTAGCATCTCGGTCGTCCAAGGGCTCCACTGTTTAGCTGGCTTCCTGCTTCTGATATACTTAAAAACATTTTACTATTACTTTTTGAGTTTTTGGCTAGCTGTTTGTCAAACTCCTTTTTGGCTTTTCTTATTATATTTTTTATACTTAATTTGACAAAGTTTATGGTCCTTTCTATTTTACTCACTAGAATTTGACTTCCACTTTTTAAAAGATATCTTTTTAATCTGTCACTGCTTCTTTTACCTGGTTAAGCCAAGCTACGATGACATTTTTTTGGTTCTCTTACTGTGTTTTTTAATTTGGGGTATACATTTAAGTTGGGCCTCTATTATGGTGTCTTTGAAAAGTTTCCATGCAGCTTGCAGAGATTTTACTTTTGTTACTGTACCTTTTAATTTCTGTTTAACTTCGTTCCTCATTTTTGTGTAGTTCCCCTTTTTTAAATTAAATGCCACAGTGTTGGGCTGCTGAGGTGTTTTTCCCACCACAGGGATGTTAAATTTTTTTTACATTAGAGTCATTATTTCCAAGTAGTCCAGTTTTATTTACCTCTTGAACCAGATCCTGCTCTCCACTTAGGAATGAATCAAGAATAGCTTCTCCTCTTGTGGGTTCCAGAAGTAGCTGCTCCAAGAAGCAGTCATTTAAATTATCAAGAAATTTTATCTCTGCATCCTGTCCTGAGGTGATGTGTACCTAGTCAATACGGGGATAGCTGAAATCCCCCACTATTATCGAGTTTTTTGATTTGATAGCCTCTCTAATCTCCCTTAGCATTTCATCATCACTATCACGGTCCTGATCGAAAATATATTCCTACTGCTATATTCTTATTTGGAGCATGGAAATACTATCCATAGAGATTCTATGGAACATTTTGGCTCATTTAAAATGTTTTACTTCTTTTGATTCTATATTTTCATTCACATATAGTGCCACTCTCCCACCAGCACAACCTGTTCTGTCCTTCCGATATATTTTGTTCCCTGGTATGACTGTGTCCCATTGATTGTCCTCATTCTGCCAAGTTTTCGTGATGCCTATTATATCAATATCTGCCTTTAAAACTAGGCACTATAATTCACCCATTTTACTATTTAGACTTCTAGTATTTGTGTATAAGCACTTTAATAATTTATCACTATTTATCCATCTGCCATTTCCTGATGTGTTAGACTCTTTCATTTGATTGTGTCTCATCTGATCCGACCCATACTTCCATCCTCTCCTCCAGACTAGAACGCAGAGCATCTCTATTAATAGAACCTCCCCTAACAGATGTCTCTGTCCAATCCATGTGCTCCTTCACACCCGTCAGCTTTCCCTCTGCCCTTAGTTTAAAAACTGCTCTACAACCTTTTTAATGGTAAGTGCCAGCAGTCTGGTTCCATTCTGTTTTAGGTGGAACCCATGCTTCCTGTATAGGCTCCCCCTATCCCAAAAGTTTCCCAGTTCCTAATAAATCTAAAGCAGCAGCAGAAGCATGGCTGGGCTATGCAAATACAAACCTATTTGAAAGTGATTATTATGTATGTGTGTGTCATGATTCAACTGTGACTCTGCTGCCACTACCCATGCTATCATGGCTACCCTAATATTGACACTTGTGCTAGTTTGATGAGAGCATGTGAACACAAGCTGGGGATATAACATTTCTAGCTCATAGCATAGACACAGTCTGATAGAAGCTGCAACAGAGGAACTATCTAGAAATGAAGGAACGTAGTTGGAAGAGCCAATCTGTTAAATACATACTCTGATTAGCTTTGTCATTCTCCTCTCACAGTGTTTTATAAGGGTTTGCTTTATTATACAGCAGGTTTGAGTATTCTGCAAGCACCTCAAGTTCTTACATCATATATTATGAGCTCCAAGATCCCAATGACCACATCATCTGCACACAGCAGTTCAGCCACTACAGCTCCAATTGCTTAAGGCAGCCCTGAGAAAATAAGCCCTATCAGCATTCTCCTGATTACTATAGAAAAAACTTCAATTCTGAATAATTAGTCCTTTATCCAGAGGTAGGAGGAAGTCCTTGAGTGTCAACAAAGTATTTCATTGAATAAATAATTTGGAATGCCACCATTTTGTTCCTGACCCTACTTCATACATCACACCTTTGAAAGAATCATAATCGCCCCCACATCTCAGAAAAATTACATAAGAAAATAAGTTGGGTCTTTTCCTTGCACTGAGACATGCAGTTACATTGCAAGAATATTTCATAATTAGGGCTATGATGTGAAAATGAGAATTCCATTGATGTTATGGATCTTTCGGAGAACCAATAGAACAAGTGCTGCTGGGAAAAACAAATGTATTTATATTACTATCCCTATCTGGTTACTGAACTGGATCCAACAGGTGATAAGAATTTGGAAAAAACAGTGTTTTTCTTCACATTGATAGTGAAGAATCAATTTGCTCAAGATTCTTATGACCTTGAAGCAACTGTGATATCTCTGACCAGTTATACAAATAAAATTCGGAACATATGCATATTCTTCTCACAACTACCAAGATTATAGTGCAAACCCTGGGAACAAACATTAAAATAAAAAGAAATTCCTATCAGAAGTATTCCAGTCTTGGAAACAACCTGAAAAATCTGTGATATTTTGCTGCATATTCTCTTCAAAATATTCTGGTGCCTATTTATTTCCCCTCACACACTAAACTGAAGCAATCATGGCCCTTCTTTTAAATACTTGCAAGCAAAGATTATTATGAATCAGTCTGAGCTAAGAATCAGTAATACCTCCCAGAAATATTTTGGGAACATTATACTTGTTGGATCTACAACTGCTACTACCAAACTAAAATAAAGAATTATTAACACAGTCTTGTTAGTTACTAAATAACTGTATGCTCTCCCATCATTCCAGAATTGAAAATCCAGTTTAAGCACTATTTGGGATTCGGGATGCTAGTGTGTACCCATTTGCACAATTAACCAGTAAGCCCAGGCTCATAGAATAATCCTAATAGTTACATGCACCCCCCTTGCTGCCGCTGTATCAGAGGCAGCAAGGGGCAGAAGGCAGGATTTAGTGCCCATAGGGATTCAACTTAAGCCATCTCTCCATGCGTGCAGGCTCCCACAGAGCCACATCTTCCCTCCCCCCGCTGCCTCCCACAGAGGCAGCAGCGCAAGTGTCGAGCAGACGGGAACTGGTGCTCGGGGGAGCAGAAGCACTGGCTCACGTGGAACTGCTTGCCCCTCCGTGCTGCTGCCTCTGTGGGAGGCAGTGGCAGGGGGGAGATGGTTCTGTAGGAGCCTGCAAATGCTCCAGTTGGTTTCCCTTACTCCTCGCAACTGCCTAGAGTACCAGTGCCGACCAGAGCCGCCTTCCATGTTTGATTTAGTGGGTCTTATGTAGCAAAGAAAGTTCCAGGCTTCTGGTCAATGAAGGCTGGGAATGGCATTTTATATTAGAACTACAGCTGCAGAATTGGAGACAGCACTTGAAGATTGCCTGATCTGCTATTTCAGAATGAATAATAAATACAGGAGCAAGTCTCTCCTTGAGAAACAAGATTAACTGAGATGTTTTCTTGCATTTAGTTTAATCATAAATGGGAGGAAAATTTTTCTCTTTCAAATACTATTCCTTGTACTAGGACTGGTGGTGTTCAGCCAGCAAGGAAAAATTTTGAATTACTTTTCTAAGACTAAAAAAAGCAGAATAAAGCACTTTCACATATTACTGCATATAACTTTTTGAAATCATGTATTCAATTCTGGTCATTGAGTAAAAATTTAAATGTAAAGAAAATGTTGTAAAAGTCTGATGTAATTGAAGTAGAATTACAACTGCTTAAATTAAGGCTGAATCTGGCTCAGATCAATTTACCTCACCTCCTCACCCTACCAACCAAAAATGGCAAAAAGAATTGGCTCTAATGCAAACCTTTTAATGCAATCTTAATCAGTTTAGTCCATTTTACTAATTGATCTGATTAATGACTACATTGACATTAAAGCTGTAAATGTTAAGTGCTTTCATAATAAATTATACATTCTATAGGCAAGTTTTCCACTTAACTGAAAATTTTAAAAACATGATAGCAATCTTTGAAATGACATGAAAACTTACTTTACAGTTACTTTCACTTATTCTCTACTTTGGCCATAAATATATTTTAAAGCTAAGATCTGAGGTCTGTAGTATCTGAAATCATAAGAATTAATAAATTTCATGTACCACATGTATGTTAAGTCTTGAGGAAATTCATTAAGACAAAATAAATCTGAAATTCTTGCTCAAGACAATCAACTTAAGCAATAGTTGACCCTTAGAGTGAAAAAATACCATCTACAGAACACAACCATTACTCATACTTCCTAAAGGAGGTTCATCGCACTGGAGCTCAACCAGGTGAATCAGGAAAGTCCACAGACCATCTCAAACTCTGTTTTCTTGCAAGTTTTTTGTACAACTAGCTCTTCTACTGGTAGCCTAGAAATCTACCTTGCTCCTGAGTTGGCCGGTTGTTTTTAGTTTTGCAGCATTTCATCGAGTATGCGTTATAGGATTTAAATACAGTAATTTAGTTACCAGCTCTATAAATACAAATCAACCATTCTTAAAGAAGGAAAATCTAATTGAATCATACCTTATAAAATATTTGACTGATACATATTGCTTCCATTTCAATCACAACAAAGAAAAGTCTGCATGAGTTTTAGAGTGTAGTATAACATATTTGGAAAGCATACCTATGCACAAAATTATGTTTATGCATTATGGCTAGTCCAGCAGCGATCTCACATGCCATTCTCTGTAGCAGCATTATTTGTGAATCTCCATTAATATGCTCCTGTTCATTGCACAGATAGGTTTTTAGGTCACCCTGTAAAACAAGTTGGAAATTCTTATAAATTATCTCATACATTGGTGGCACCAAGATACTTAATGAAGAAGCAATAAGAAATATTACTTAGCATTTGTTAGTGAACATTATTAAAATTTAAATATAAATGTGTACTTAATGAAGAGTCTCCATCAAGTTCCAAGTCTCTATAGATATTTTTACAGAAGGCATCTAAGGAATATGGTACTTTTTCATTTCAATTCATTAAGTAGTTAACACTCTAGATCACATTTTCATACATATGCATAATTAATTTACAGCAATAATACTTAAAATAAAAAATATGGCTTAATGACCTTTGGCTACCAAAAATATTTATGTGAAACCATCTTAAGATAACATTCTGCAAACCAGTGGAGCTGACCTTGGAGGAGGGGAAAAAGAAGTAGTCTCTCAAATGTTCCCAGTTGGCCAGTTCTTTCAATGTGAAATGCATGCCTTATTTGCCAAATTCCTAGTCTGAGAATTCAGACATCACAGGATGGCAGCATGTGGATGGAATCTAAGTGGTACAGCGAATAAATGGCACCAAGTGAATGAGTCCGTAGGAGGGCTCCATCTGGTCCAGTTTATGAGTTTGAACAAGATGTAGCAAAGAAAGTCATATAAGAATGGTAAAATCCTTGCCAGAAACTAAGCTAAAAATAATCTTGCAATTGAGAAGACAGCTGACAGTACTTAATGTTTGTTCTTAAACTTTCAGACAAAATTAATCAGTTTATTAAAAGTGTCCAGAAACAAAAAGTATGGTAACTGGATCCTGTAGTAAAGATAAAAGTCTAAATTTCTCCAAAATGCCACTATAGCTCCTTTGTTTGGATTCAGAGTTACCACTACCAGGTTTCTCTGGCTCTACAGTCTTTGGTACACCACGCTAAGACTGTGCTTTTTACCTATTGTTGAATTCAAAGTAAATCAAATCAGGCAGGGCTGGCAGCATCATCTTCTAAGGCTGCCCAACCCTTTCCACTACAAGACCCTGTTTTCAGTTATTTATAACTGTCAGATGCCAAGGTGTCTGTTTCAGGCTGCAGTTTCCCAAATAAATTCAACCAAAATGATTCACTTATTTCCAAAGAGGCAGCTAAGGTAAAAATATTTTTTGTCCGTCTTAGGTTCTGGGGTAATTTTTTTAAACAGCTATATTACCTATGCGCTTTGGAGCAGTAACTTGAAATTTGTCAAGGTGTGGCTTGTGTGTCAGGTAAATAACTTTGCTACCTGTGTGAAAATGTGTGAAATTTGGCCAAGTTACAAGCCTTTGAAAAATTGTAATTCACATGAAGTAAGTAGAGACTTCTGATTTTAGCAGCTAAAAATCTCCAAAGGACTTCAAAAAGGCAGATAAACAAATTCTGAGGACTGGTAAGTAGGGTTCCATGGGAACAAGACCTAAGGGAAAAGAAGTTCACAGTTTCTCAAAGTGACAATATTTAAGGCACAGCAGCAAATCATAGCAATAAGAAAGAAAAATATGAAGAACAATAATACATTAGTCTTGTTAATAAAGATATTAAATAGCAACTTCAATCTTAAGCTTCACTAAAATAGTTATTAAATGCAAATATTTGTTTGGTATTTACCTTTTAGGACTAATCACAAAATAATCTTCCAGGGAAAAAAACTAAACAAGATTAAGCCCTTCACAGCTGCTGATCTTCAAAGACTGTCCCTGATCAAAAAACCTCACACTTCTGATCAATAATGTAGCTATGGCAATGTAACACCCAGTCTGATGTAGAAATGTAAAATTCCATGTAATTTGGTTACCGGGTTAACCGGCTGCTGCGCTGTAGGCTGGGTGCTGGAGCAGACCCCTGCCCAGGATGCAGTGAACCTGGCCAAGCTGGAACAGCTTCCTGCCTGTGGCACACTGAGTGAGGGCTGCTCCAGCTGAGCTGGGCAGGACCTGCCCGCACTGCACCATGGAGCTGCTCCATTTCAGCTGGGCTGGAGTGCCTCCTAGAGTGCAGAAGGCCCAGCCGGGCTTGAGCAGCTGTCTGCCTGCAGCATGCTGTGAGTAGGCGGCTACTTCAGCTGGGCCACACAGGGCTGCTCCAGCAGGGCGCTGATTAAACACTTAACAGCCCTAGTCCCCTGAGTTTCACTTTCAGTTAATCACTGGCTAGGATAGACGTAACTATGCCAACAGAAGAGGGCATCCATCAACAGTTAATTTCCATGGAAGTGGTATTCATACACCAAACAGAAAAAAACCTCTGTCAGTGTGGACTGCATTTAATCTATAGGATTGCTGTGAAAAGGATTAATAGCATATTATTTTTGTATAATACTGTCTTACAAATTGTGGCAAATGAAATCTTAAGTGTTGTTCAAAAAATAAGCAATCACAATACCTGTTTAAAACAAATCATATTAAATGATCTGGATATCAAATTACGTCTACAGTAAAATTTACTGTTCTGCCCACATCTGCTTTTCCAATAAATGTAATGTATATCCTATGTTTCAAATCAGTATAACAATTAAAGCAATCATATCTTTTCTACTACAGATACATCAGATTTTTCATTATAATCTCTTCTGCCCTGTTTTCAATTGCTAATTTCATAAAGTTTGAAATAGTTGATATTTTTATCATGCTATAGAATGTCTTAAAACTTTTCAAAAGTTTGCATTAAATTGATGATTAAACAATTGTATTCCATTTATATCCTGAAAACTGTATATATTTGATACCTGCATCTGGTTTACCTTGCCAGTGAACACACAAAGAATCTGAAACTTAAGCAAACATCCTCACTTATACAATTCAGTGCTTTTTTAACATGCAATTTGAAAATGAACAGTGCCTAGTTAGCTCTAGATGGCAGCAAGCTGCCAAAGTAATAGTATGTCCTTTGTGAAAACTATAATTCAGAAGAACAATTGTTCATTTATGGTTTGCTCCAGTTGGATTACAATCCTAGAATGTGTTTCAAGTGACTGAATTGGAGTTTCTGATATCCACATTTAAAAATGAAGTGGGGGCGGCGGAGAGAGAAATGGACTCTCTCTCTCTAATTTAGTAAATAACTTAGTTATACATGTTTCATATAAAACAAAGTTTTATAGATGAGCTATTTTAATCAGTTTAGAGGTGCCTAAAATGCATTTTAGTTTGTCACTATCCAGTACTCAGTCCTAAGGGCTCGTCCAAAGGGAGAAACAAATGTACTGCAGGTTGGGATGTAAATCTGCAGAACATAGCGGCCACATAGTAACCATCCATGTGAACTGTACTGCCACACTCCAAAAGTTCCTTACTACACTTTGATCTCAGAACAACAAGCACTAGTGAATTTATAATTTAACCATGACTGAGTGTCCTGGTAATCTGTCAGTGTATAAGACCTTAAGATATTTATAATAAATTTCCTAGATTCTGAAGTTTTAAAAATGACTGTCAGTAGAATTTATGGTCTTGAAATATTAAACCTTGCTTTTCATTATCCTTACCTCTTCCATTATGTCTGTGCTTAACTGTAATGGACCACACCTTATTTGCCTGTCAGGCATCTAGGGCAATTGTGTGCACAGTGAATTTTAAAAAAAGATTGCAATAGGTAGAATCCTACCCTAGAGGTTAGAACTCCATTAGGTCGGCTACATATTCATGGTCAGTAACACAAATTATAGAGACAAGCCTTGTTTAACTTTGATTTACTATGTATTTTAATTCTACATTTACTCTAGCTTCCAGATCAGGAGCGGGCAACAATTTTCGATGGGGTGGCCACTCCAAGATTTTGTAAGTGGTCCAGAGCTGCACTTTTCTATGGAATCTGAGACAAAGGTTGGGTGCAGAAGGGAGCTTGGGGTAGAAGACTGGGGTACAAGAGAGAGGGTAAGAGACAGTGTTTGAAGGAGGTAGTTGTGACCTGTGGCAGGGGAGTGGAGTGCCGAGTCTGGGAGACAGTATGGGTGTAGAAGGGGATTCTGACCTGAGGGAGAGGTGTAGAATGGGTTGCAGGATATGGAAGGGAGTTGTGACCTGGGACAGGGGGGGTGCAGTGCTGGGGAGGAGGCATGGGTGCAGGAGGGGATTCTAGCCAGGGGGAGGGGTATAGAGGGTGCAGGGTCAGGGAGGCAACTGTGACCTAAGGGGCGAGGGGGAGGGAAGGTTTGGGTAGTCAGGTGAGGCAGGGAGTCAGATGCTGTGTGGGCTGTATTTTGACTTTGTGCATATTTGCAGGCCAGGCTCTAAATGCATTTCAACATCGTGATGGTCTCTCATGAATGGCTTCCACATATGTTGGCACTTTGAAAAGACAATTGTCCGGGTAAGGAATGATGAAGATTCCCTGTTTCATGAGGTGTGCAGTTACTGACACAAGTAGTTTGGACAAAACTCGGGGGACTGTGTAGATTCCGAAGGGTAGAACTTTGTATTGGTAGTGGGCAGCCCATACTGTAAATCTCAGAAAATGTCTGTGGGCAGGGTGTATGGTGATATGAAAATAAGCATCTTGCAGGTCAAGGGCTGAAAACCAGTCCCTCTGCTCTAGTACTGGGGTTATTGTAGAGAGAATGAGCATTTTGAAAGAATTTGTTTCTTTACAAATGTGCTTAAACTTCTGATTTTGAGAATTGGTCTCCATTCTCCATACTTTTTGGGTATTAAAAAATAGTGGGAATAAAATCCTTACTCTACATGTTCCTGGGGAACAGGTACTACAGCCCCCCAAGTTTAGGAGACCGTCTACCTCCTGAAAACAATTGTGAAAGGGATCCCTAAAAAGGGAATAGCCTAGCCAGATCTGATGACCTCTAATGCCTATTTGTTGGTAGTAATCATGAGCCATTCCTGATAGAAGGAGTAAAGGCTGTTGGGGAAATAGAGGGTTGAGCATGCTAAAGAGAGGGAGTGATCTTCCTCTTGATCAAAACTTCAAATGTGCTTATTGGGGGGGTGAGACGGGGAGGGGGAGGGTTGAGACACTGTAGTCATTAGTCACTGTGGCCTCTGTCTATTGCTGGTCATACGATCTCTGCCGCTGTTGAGAGTAATGAGCATCTGTTTCTTTGGTATGGTTGGTATCTAAACTGATGAGTTGTTGCAGCAAATGTCTGCATGCCCAGGGATCGCAGAGCAGCTCGAGAATCCTTCATGGAGCGAAGCTCCTCATCGAACATTGCTGCAAAGACCTTTTTGGTGTCAAAAGGAAAATCTTCCACGGTGCTCTGGATCTCTCTGGAGAATGTGGTAGTTGCATCAAATGTGGCCAGTTACGGTACTGCAGCCTTAGCTGACAGCTGCAGTGTGGTTTTCAAGGGAAGAGTGATACATCTCTGCAGCACTGAGCTCGCTGTATTGAGAGCGGGTTGGCTGTTGGTGGAAAAATCTAAGATGCCGACAGTGCTGGGAGAGTGACAGGAAGGGTGGCCGCATTAGCTTTGGCACTGGTGGTGCCTAAGGTGCCCAGAACACTGACCACGCTCATTCTCAGAGCAGAATGTGGCGGCGGCAGAGATCTCATTGGAGAGCACTTTTTCCCTTATTTTGTGCTCTATGGAGAAGGTGTCTGCAGTTTTTCCCTCCCCTCTTTCAGTGGTCTCTGCATGCTGTGGAGTTCAGTTTGGCACAGTGGGCACATATCTTAGGGATATGACCCTCACCCAAACAGCAGACACACTGGCTGTGCTAGCCAGAGATGGGCATAGCCTCCCTGCAGGAGGCACATCTCTTGAAGCTTGGAGAGTCAGTCAGACCAGTGACTGAGAGCTGTTAAAATTCTGGTGAAGCAGAGGGGTTTTTTCCTCCTTGTATCAACACTACTAGCTAATTAACTAAGATAAACTAACTATAGAAGGTCTGAGGAGAGCACTGACAACATGACTGCTGCACTCTTTCTCCGGCCAGTGACGACAGAAAGGGAACTGTTAAGTCTCAAACCAAATGAAAGTATACAATTATTTCTGTATTAAGTGAAGTAGAACAACGTCTACATCTGAAGATATTTACAGTCCAGTTAAATAATTTAACTACTTAGAAATATGGCAATAAAGGCTGATTACACGCTTATTTGTGTTAACATATGCAATGTAAAATGCAACTTTATTCTAAAGCTTTTAGCAATAACTTCCCCGGCCTGAGATGAAGACCAAAGTCAATGACAACTTACTGAATTCAAGCACTGCTAGAAAAATCATGCTACCTATTTATATGCCTTACTTTAGACATTACTCTTGACACTCTTGACCAAAGTGAGCATTCCATTTTGTTCAACTTCTTTAAGACTTCTCACTATGAAAGCTCAAACCATTTTTCTATAAAGAGAAAAGATGACTGATATTCTATCAGGGTTTCATCTGCCTCATTTTATTTAACTCCAGCTAATACAATCTGAGCAAAAAAGCCAACAATTAAAGCAGTGTCATTATCTTTGGAAGTTAACTAGCATTTCCTCTGAGAAAAGTCAGAGGTTCACTCTGCTATTCTGTTTGAAATTGCTTGAAACAATTAATGTAAATACAATTATACTTGTGCAGGGAGCTTTTAGGGAAATAATGTTATATTGGTAAGACTGATTAACAATGAATTTTACAAGCCCAAACCTAATCACTACTTTTATTGCTTCTGGAAATTTTATTCTTGATGTAAATTATATATGCACATTTGAGCCTATTTTTGTCTTTGTACATTCTGAACTGAAATCCTGCTTTAAAAATTCTTTGAAACCACAATCCTTTAAAAAGAGGTGATTGTATAGATAGCCTTTAAACTCATCTGAACAGAGTTAGGGTTTTTTTTTGTTTGTTTTTATAGGTATTGTGTGTCACAATTCCCAAGTAACTGCAGCTCTGAACACTCCCTCCCTCTCCCCCTGGTCTCAGGTGTACTACTGAGGTACTAGGCCTCAAACAGTCACCTCTATTTTCAGGTGGAATCACATGATTCTCCGACTCTCAGACCAGGACCTGGCTACAGTGCCCAATGACCAACTGTAATTCCTCAGATGGACTGCCAGTTCAGGGGCCATCTTTCCCAGAAGGGAGCCTGTACTGGCACTTCAGCCCCGTGCCCTCCCCGCCCCCCAAGGTTGGAGCACCAGCACTGGCTTTCCACTGCTGGGGAATAGATAGCCCTGAGCCTCATGGGCCAGATATGGCTGGGGGTGGCTGGGAGAGAAGCGGCTCTGTGCACTGCCAACCCTCCCTCTCCCATTGGTTGGGGGAACAGCAGAGAAAACGCTCCCCCGCAGTCTTTCCCCGCTGCTTCCACTGGCTAGAATCATGGTCAATGGGAGCAGTGTGAGTCATTAAAACAGTTATGTGCTCCCCCCATCCTCCTAATTCTCAGACCCCGCACTTTCATCCCCCTCACATAGCCTTCTGCTGAGACCCCACACCCTCACCCCACTCCTGCACCCTCCCTTCCCACCCAGACCCCACCCTCAGCCCACTCCTACACCCTACCTCCCAGACAGGCCCTGCACTCCTGCCACCTCCTGCACCAATTTTGTCACCGTGGGTGGTTGGCTGGTGGTTTGCAAAGAGATCTGAGTTAAGTGGGGTGGGCCATGTGCCAAAAAATTTAAGAACCACTGCCCTAGAAAGAATTACAATTATAAATCAGTAACCTCAGACAGCTTTCTTAAAGCAAAGTATTTATTTAAACCAAAAAACATTTAAAAAAAAAATCTCAAAAACCGGTAAGCTATGTTTGCCTGTCCATGTCTACAAGTTTTACCATTCCCTGGAATCCAAAACTTTGTCAGACTCTTCTACAGAGCCTCTCTGTATCAACCTGTGCCCCTGACAGCTGCCGACAACTGACTCCCCCTCCACTATCATCACCACCTCTTTTTCCTCAGAAGGGCTTTTTAACTGGTATACTGTTCTTTTGGTTTCATCATTCTGAGTACTGATAGAACAGCTGTGTCACTTTGGCCACAGATCTAGAAATAGAGCACTGTTCTGCAATTGGCCTCAACACCAGAAATGTTTTGTTAGAGGTTGCTTAAACAGAGAGCTACTGTGTTCCCTTCCTGTTTGTTCTTCCACAGTCTCTTAACCTAGATCAATGCATTCACACAGAAAAGTCCAATAGCTCAATAAACAACAACTGGACTTCACTGACAGCATCACAGAGTGTTCATAAAATTGTTACATTACAGTATTTTTAGATTACTACATTGCAGCTCCTTGTCCATTATACAGTTGTTTTCAGCTGCTTGCAACTTTGCCAAACTAGCAATTTGGACACAGAAAATTTCAACCAAGTATCTGCCTCAGGTTGAATTTTTCTCGAAAATTTACGGTAAAATAGTTCAGACATTTCCAAAAATAAACTTTGTCAAAACAACTTATTCTCCCCATGTTAAAAAACACTAAGGAAAAAAAGCATCTCAAAAGTTCTCACTCCATATTTAGGAGCAGAGAATTGAAGTTTAGCAAAGGCTTCACACTTGCATTAGGAATATGCCAGTAAAATATGCTTACATATGGCTAGTTTATAAGCCCCTGAAATCTCAGCCTCTACTGAGCACATGGAACACTAACTAGTGTTAGGCAGCTAGATTCTCCAAAGATTTATATTCCATTTCCTCATACCATTTACATTCCCCACTGAAAATCTATATGAAGTGTTACTATAATTCCACCTTACTTTGTATTTTTTTCAAGCTCTTAAATTAAGAAATTATATGAAATGACATTAAAAGAATGTTAACACTAAAATCAAGCACTCAAAAGTTGGAAAATATATTAAGGCTACCCATGCAATATTTATTGGCTCTCTTGGGTTGATGCATTACAAATAGGAGTCTTAGTTAGATCATCCTGCGTTCTCCCTTTCCTCTCTCCACCGCACAAGACTCTTGCCTCATTCATGCGTGGAATAAACAATTAGTTTGTTTTTCAAAATGTGATGTGACTCTATTGCACAGGAAGAACAAAGTGGCAAAGCTTATTCCTATATCATTATTTTCCTCTTTAGAAAGTTCCACAATGAACTAAAAGTTAGATCCTGAACTTAGAGAGTGTTAAGTATAAAAAAAAATTGATTTTGTGGTCAGTAACTGAAAAAAGTAAATAAATGATATTTACCCTTTTAATACTACTTCAACTGGCTCAAGGAATATTTAAAAATGAGCATGTGGTTTAAATGATGAGGTTCACAAAAAACTGTTAAAAGGTACTCTAGCAAGAAAACAATATTTATAACTATTATTAAATGTACTATTTTCACTTTTAAGTTTACTTACTAAGTCACACAACTCAAACACCAGAAGATACGGGATGGCTTCCACACATTGTCCAATACACTGGAGAATATTTGGATGCTGAAGAATGCTATAATGAAAATACAGACGTTTCTAAATCAGAAAGGTAACAGTACACATTAATAGATCTAACATTATTGAATACAACTATCCACTATGCATCTCAGTTTTCTCTCTGAAATATGTAAATCCACAGAAACAGCATAAAAAAGGCTTCAGATTCAACAAGTCTTTTTTGATATGTTCTAGCAGTGAAAGGAAGTCTTCCACACGCCTTACGTGAACAGCTGAGAATTCTCCTGGCATGAGGAACTTCAAGTGGTATAAAGGCAATCCTTTCCCCTCCCTCTGCTCCCTTTATGGTGGATGTGTCAAGAGCACGCAAGGGCATGGCTGAAGATTACTGTGATCCAATAGTCCCAGTGGGCCTATAGTTTAAAGCAGCCAGTTACTAAGTTCTCGCTCTGCTTGCAGAGATGACAATGGAAATATGACAAAGCCACTTTTCACCCATGCCCTGAAAAGCACATGAAAACTCAACCTTAGAGTTTCCAGCCAATACTAGAGTGTACTTGGACTCAGAACAGGAGACCAAACAAATGGAATTTACTTACCTGTAACTGAAGGTTCTTCAAGACAGGTGGTTCTTGTCTGTATTCCACAAGTGGATTCCTGCATCTGAGTCAGGAATATTTTGGTAGCACTGTGATTTGTCCTATATCTATATTGTAGTTCACTTTGTGCTCTGAATCAAGGGTATTAAAGTTAGTGCATGCCAACACCACTCTTGTTTCCCATTGTTAGCACAGTTCAAACAGGCTGCATGGGTGGTGGAATACAGATAGGGACCATACAGCTTGAAAAACTCCAGTTACAAGTAATCTACCTCAATTTTTTTTGGATGATAGTATTTGTGTATTCCACACATGCAAGATTAATAAGCAACAAACAGATGGCATGGGTACAAAGATGTAAATTGTAATACTGCTGTCTCAACTACTGTATTCACAGTTGATAACTGGACCATAGTGTAATGCAATGGACAACCTAGACTAGTGAGTGGGCCACATTTGTGGCCCATTGAAATGGAGGACTACTCGAATGTCATAACCAAGATTGCCTCCCAGGATAGGATAGTTTTGCTAACTGCACTTGTGCATAGGTGGCGAGTTGTATGAGCACCCCTTGTACCTCCGCACCAGGAATATTACTGGCCCAGAGGTGGGCTCCATCAAAGCTCATTGCCTGCCATTCCTTGCATCCTTTGGTGGCAGCAGGGGGCCCTCGGGGCATTTTAAGTTGTGCAAGGGCGGCAGGCAGGGAAGAAGGCATGTGGGCGCCAGCACCCACAGACTCCCACTCTCCCAGGAGCGTCTGCTGAGGGGGTGTGCCTCATAAGCAGAGCACCCCACACACCTCCCCTCACACCTCCTTGTGCACCTCAATCCCTCCAGAGCCTGCACCCTCTCCCTATCCTAACCCCAAACGCCCTCCCAGAGCCTTTATGTAGAATCCCACCCAAACTCCAGGCCAGAGCTAACACCCACATTCGCTCCCAGAGCCTGCACCCCTTTTGTACCTCAATCCCGACTCCATCCCCAGAGCCTGCACTCCAGACCTCCACCTGCATCCAAGCCCCCTTCCCCTCCTCAAGCCCCACAACTCACCGCTCCTGCACCCAAACTCCCTCCCAGAGTCTGCCCCGCTTCTGGCCCCCAATTCCCTGCTACAGCCCAGAGCCTGCACCTAGTATCCAAACCTGCACACATACCCACACATACCCAAACTCCCTCTCAGAGCCTTGGGATGGGTGCTGAGTCACAGAGGTGCAGGCTCTGGGCATCACCAACATTTCTACAAACCCCTATGTTTGTGTACCTAGAATTTGTGAGATGCACCAATTGAAATGTAGCAGCTCTTTGACTATGAGAGCTATGTGCTCCCTCTGCATCTAATATTGTGCACAATTAGCACACATCCTTGATTTACGTGTGTGTCACCCATGCAGAGGGAAACCAGCAGAATCTGGCAACCCTGTTGGTTACAAAATGTCTCATGGGACACAAAGAGCCCCGATAAACCACACGCGGCCCATAGGCCACAGGTTGTCCATCACTGACATAATGTCTCATGAAGATATGCAAGTTATTGCAAGTAGATCTGCCACACATCTTGAGGAGAATGTCTCAGCAATGCAGCCAGAGTAGTTTACCCTCTATGAGCCCTCACGCCCTGTGGAGGGGGACTATGACCTAGCTGTAACAAAGAGCAATACAACCTGAGATCTACTTTGAAAGTCTCTGCATCAATTTAGCTTAGCCCCTTGATTGCTCTACTATGTAAATAAATAGCTTAGGTATCTAAAATCCTTTGTTTTTTGTAGATAAAGGAGGAGGAATAGGATTGGGGGAAGAGTGGGAATTTAAGGGTGTAATTTTCCTCCCCATTGCTCAACACCCAGGAGTCCAAGGTGCTGAGGGATAGGTTGCCAGGTGTCCGGTTTTCTACCGGACAGTCCAGTATTTTCACCCTCTGTCCAGTAGAAAAATTCAGAAAATACCGGACATGTGCAATGTCCGGTATTTTCTGAATTCCCAGCTAAGCGCCAGAAGTGTCGGTCTGAAAACAAGGGGAGGATCCAATGCAGAAAATGATATCGTGCCCTCCGGTACACCTTCAAAAGTTCTGTTTGGGGCCTCCTGATTATCTGTATGACCCCTGTAGCAAGGCTGAGGTGGAAGGGGGGTGTGCCTGCACTTGTAACCTCCGCTCAGTTTCTTAAACAGGTCTTGGCAAGAAAGCAGAGCTATGAAGTGGATTGTTGCAGAGATCTGAAATGCTCCCTCAAAGAGGCTGGGGAGTAGAGGTCCAGGGATCTGAGGGTAACCCTGGAGTGTCTCAGACCATGGAGCTTTGAGTTAGTCTTTTATAAGAACAGGGAGGTATCTTGAAGGGAAGATCCTGGATCAAATGCTAGACCTCAGGTGGCAGCCCTGAGGATTGGAGTCTGGAGACCTTCTCATGATAACAGCCGAAGCCATGTGTGTACGGCTGCTTGGAAGGAGACACTCACTATGGTCCTCTTTTCTTAGATCAGGGCAGAAAAACATACCTAGAGTCCTGTGGCAGCAAGTCTCCAAACTTTGTTGTCACAGAATCCCATGTGAACTACTACACTATTAAAAGTCTGATGATTTGGGAGGCGGTAAGAGGGTGAGACTCAATTTTTGATCATTCAGTGTTGACAATACTGAATGTGTATTTTCAATATCTTTAACTACCAACTTTTACTTTATATTAACAGACCGAAAAGGGAGGAAAGAGGTGAGTACTATGTAAAAAAGCTTTCTATACTTTAAATATATATTAGTAGCACAGACTGTATCTTAAGTATGAGAAGCTACTTACTAGTAAGGTTCACCATTTCTCAAAAACTGTTCTTGTTCTTTGGGACCTGCATTTGCCTTTAATTCCTTCACTATTACTCTTGCTACGCTAGTACCTGAGTAGATCTCCCCAAGCAGGACCTGAAAAACAACCAACAGTTCTACATTACACAGCTTCAGTCACACTTAAAAAGAGGAAATATCTGGTTTTTTTGTTATACCTCGATTATAAATGCAAGAAAAACACATGGGTTTAAGGATGTTTTGTTAACACATCAAAAGCTTTCATAATTAAGCTTCCACACTGAAATTATTCTGACAAGCGATATTAATCCTCTGAATTTAAAAAACAATGTATGTAGATTTTTTTTAAATAAAAATTTGAGTTAAGTGCTTTTTCTACAAAAGGTACTAAAATTAAAACAACAATTTACATGCTCAACCTATTGAAAGGGAATTTGACTATTTTTGGTGACGTTTTCTTAAGCAGCACTGCATCTGAATTAAACAGATAACAATCAGATAGAAAATAAAGTACATGAAAACAGCAACACAAATTAAGTTCTAAAGACAATTTTCTTGTCATGTTATTACTTTGGATAAATATTATTTTAAAGGAGATCTCTACTTAGGACTAAAACCTCAACTGCAGAATTACAATATTAAAGGAGGACTTTTCACCTTTCCAAACCAGCCATTTCCAATTTCTTGAATATAGTTTAGATTCTGCCGTGCAACTTGAGACTTTGATCCTTCTGTTATACAAAACAAAAAATAGACACACATCAAGCCACACAAAATGGCCAAAATTGCCTATGCAACTGTTGAAGAAATAATGCATAATCTTACAATGTTAATTTTTTTTTAGTTTTTTTACACTAATAATTGCAATACACTACAGCAAATAAAATGCACGCATTAAGCTAAGCAGCAGAAAATATCGTTAAACATACACAATGACAAAGTATTAAGTTAATTTCAAGAAAGCTAACATTAGGACAGATGAACAAAAGTCAAGGCTAACACTTCTCAATTTGATTAGGATTTTAAACAGATTCACCGAGAAACTGCTCCAAGAAACACCCTTGCACAGTAATGCAAGGTCAGACAGATGTGAAAACTTTAGCTATCAACACAACCAGGTATACTGCAAACCAACAAAAGCAAGAAAATCAAAACAGTTGAGTTTGTATTTGTTGCTGTAAACATATCTGCATTAGACTGTCAGGAAGTCTATTAAATCACTGTTTACAAGAGTCCCACAAACAGCAGAACACAAGCCCACAGCAGGTCATTGAATACTCACTGCTTTTACAAGCCCTGATTAAACAGCAGAGCGCCTGTTCTTTACACACCGACCCAGCTGCTATAACTGCAGCCATTGCCTATACGAGGAAAAATTATTTTTTTAAATGTAGTTTACATGAAAAGCCCCCTTGGCCAACTGCTAGGAAGTATGAAAGCCTTTGCCCTTATGTATGCTGGCAAAAATATGGGACCCATAATTCACTGCCAAGTGCAGCTCCACTGGTGGTAACAAGGGTGGAAGTGACAAGGCCGACAAGACTCAGATGTGTTTAACCATTGTGTCATCTAATTGATAAGGAACAGTGGTCAAGACACCTTAGCCCTGTCTACATTAGGGACGTTATCGTGTAAACAACTACACGATTAACAGATAAGCCTAGGCATGTTGGTTAATCTTGGTTGACTACATGCATTTCCCCTCCCCACACAATGCCTCTGAGCACCGCATCTGCCTGCCCCCTTACCCTTGTGTTGCTGCCTGTAATAGAGAGGCAACAGCGCAGAAAGTGAGGGAAACAGGTGGGAGCCGATATGTGCAGGGAGCCAGCTTTCAAGCAGGCTCTCTGGACCCGCTTGGCCCCCCCTTTGCAGCAGGTTCCTCCCAGCACCAGCTCTACAGTGCCACCTGTTCCCACCCCAGCTTACCCCAACTGTTGCCTCTTCATTGCAGCAGCCCCTGTCCGCAAGGGATCAGAGCTCCCTGTGGACAGAGGTTATTCCACATCCCACAGAGCAGTCCCTGTCTGCAGGGAGCATGGACTCCCACAGACATGGGGTGCTGCCATCCCATGCTACTGCCTCTGTATCAGAGGCAGCAGCGTGGAGTGACAGTCAGTCTGCGTGGGGTTGCTGGTTTTTAAACTGGCTCCCCTTGTGGACCGGCTCCACCTGCCACCCCACACTGCTGCTTCTCTACCAGAGGCAGGGGGCTCCCCAGGAGCGCACTGGCTGCCGGCCCCAGCCCCAGGGACTATCCAATAGTCATGTAACCACTAAGATTTCATGCGGTTATTCTATTACATGATATCTAACATCCCTAGTCTACATTACAGTTTTTGTCACTGCTACCATGAGTAGCTCCTATTTTTGCCACAGTAGGCCAGATATATGCGAGGAGCTTACCAGTACATCTTATTGCAGGTGCTCCTCCCCATCCCCAAAGCAAAACATGCTATATTGTAAAATGAACAGTTTTGCCACTAAGGGCTTTTGTCAGCACAACTGTTTCATCACAATCCTAAACAATATTAGCTATAACAGTAACAGTCTGTAGTGTAGATCTGGCCACAGAAACAATCTTGAGGACAGACAGCAATCTGCTCATGTGACAAGCCAATCTTCCCTATGTGAGGTTGCAGGGGGTGGGGGATGTTAAATCAAGTGCTGACATTTTGCAATTCTTCTCAGTATTGCTTAAGAATCAGCTCTGTAGATTTTAAAGTAGCTGATTAATCCTAATTAGTTTCCCTTTACAGCTCTGAATACTTTGTTTTTAAAAGCAATAGGGCAAAACCCCCCAAACAAACCCAGGTACAAAGAGACTAACAGCACCAAAAAAAAGGGAAATGCAAATATTAGCTAACAGGTGAAGAAAGAAGGCAAGCAAGGGAAACCGGTCTCTTTCAAAAAAAACAAAAACCTCACTTTCTGGATCTTTAATCTCGGTTTTTGGGGGGTACAAGAAGAACGGAGTATCTATAGTAAGTTAATTTACACATGGCTTAAAAAGTTCCCTCACTAAGAGCTGATGGCACTCCATCTAAGTGTTTTCTCTGGTAGCACTCCAGCTAAGTGATTCCTATCTGCTTCTGCTGAAGTGAAGCTTAAAGAAATGTTTCAAGTCCTTAAGTTTTTGAAGACATATTCTACCCATATTAGGAAGGCTAACTGATATAGCACTGTCTTCTTCTACAGACAGATTCATAGCCTTTACTGCTGCTCATATTTTCCCCCAACCTACAGAACAATGAAAGTTAACTTCCCATGTCATGTTTCACAGGGAGCCAGCTTTCAAGCAGGCTCTCTGGACCCGCTTGGCCCCCCCTTTGCTGCCTCTTACAGTCTCTGCTGATTTTCAAAATCTTATGAAACACAGTGAAACTGATAGTTATTTTCATTTTTCTGATGTTTGGAAAAATTAACAGCAGCAGCAGAGGAAAGCAGTAAACCTGTTCACCAGAAAGAATGTCTATGTTTTAAATGGAGCCTGGGAGGTGAGTGGAATAGCAGACACGCCTCATTGTATCCAAAAGGCTTGGGAAAGGAAGAACAATCTTCCTTCACCCTGGCAAAATGCAAATGGGAGAAGACACAAGAGGTTGAGGGGCATCTTAAAAACCTCCTACCCAGAAACAGATAAAGATTAGGCTCACAAAAATAGGGTCCAAACAGAGAGCTCTAATAGGAATCCCAGCACTTCCCCATTTTCATAGTAGCTAAAAAGTGGGGCTGACTTTTCACCTGGGCCACATCTACACTAGAAGACTGTTCGATTTCTGGGACCCCGATTTTACAAATTTGAAGTTCCGTGTCCAAACTATGAGGAAGAACCAAATGTAATCCGAGGCAGGACTACAATGGAAATGCACTATCTCGGACTTAGAGCCCCAGGAAGCACTCTGGGGAACTGCAAAAGGCCTCCCAAAGGCCAATTATTTCGAATTAACAGCACCAGAGCAACCACACTAACAGTATTTCAGATTTACAAGTTCAGGAATTGCATTATTCCTCATGAAAAGCAGGACTGTGGCCCCTAATTCCAGAACAGGCTTGGTAGCATGGATCTATCACTTACAAATTCAACCTTGGGGGTACAGGGTATTTCAGACTAAGGTCCTAGTGTAGACCAGGCCCTGTTGTCTCTAGACACAAGATCTTCCCCAAATCCCACCTTTAGTGTTAGCCTCTAGTAAGTTTAGTCTTTTGGCTATTAAGGCTTAGATGTCTGGCAGAAATTTCTACCAGTAGACCATGGGACAGTATGACTGATAAGATAAAAAGAAACATGATAACAATGGTTTCGTAAGAAAATAAAATACAATATAAGGGAACAGAGCACAACACTGAAAAAAAGAAGGGTGGCTGAGAATGGTAGAAATATGCTGAAAACAACTCAAAGAAACACACCCTGATCTAAGAAAAAGGAAAAGGAAAGCGAAGACAGGAAGGGAAAGGAGGAAAAGCAAATGCAATAGTGACAATAAATAGGCTGGAATTAATATTACCGTACAAAGGTATTATTTACTAAATTGCACCAAACACTGATAGGGTTAATTTTTTTCTACTTTGGCCAGACTTAGCGGTAATATTTTAAAAAACCAATCAGGAAGATTTTATACATAGTATACAAATGGTTTATCGTTTAAATGGAAGGTGGTGTGAACTTGTAGAAATGGCAGTAGGATTAGTGCTCAAGCTAGCAGTAGTTAAGTAAATTTTTCATGCATTGTTTACATAGGCAGATGAGGAAGGCTAATCACCAGAACTCCCAGACATCTTATAACTGGACCCAAAGCCATTGAGAACAGTCGTCATTAATCTGTGGTATGGTGGGGTCTTTGAGCCTCCTTCAACATGTAAATTCCAAACATGCTCAACTAGGACTGTTCTTGTGGAGCTATTGTATTTCATTGTATCAAGGCCTAGCAATTCACTAATATGTGAACCACAATAAAAGTATAATTTCATAGTATATCAGGCTAATGTACCTGTAGTACTTACAGATTTAACATATGGACTCAAACTCCTTTACATTACAGTGATTATTGTTCATACATGGTGGGTATGACAATTCCTAGACATTCCTAAACAATTCCTACCTAATAACTAATAGTTTGGATCAATGGCCTGCAAAACTTGTATAAAAATAGAAATCTCCTAATATACAAGAGTAAAAAGCCACCTGAAATCACTAGGCCTACAAATTCTCACCATTAATTTCAAAACTCCCAAGCATTTTAAAAGGTGAAATCCAGCACATGCATTTGCCTAGAGAAAGTTATTGTGGAAAAGTTAGACACTCCCATGGAATCATTAGTAACCTGGAAAGACCACACTAATAGTTAGCAGATATACAAAAAAATTCAGCACACACATTGATGAAATATAAGATAATGTATTTTACGCAAAAATGCTAGAACTCTTTTATTTAATAGCTTTCTTTTTAAAACTAAGGATAGTTACTGACGTCTGCTTTGAGTCTTTTCTCTAAAAACCAGCAGTTGGCCATGAATGTATTCCCAGAGAGATTTCTTTGTATTAATCAGAAATGAGCTATGAAAATATGATTTTCATATTTTATATTAAATAGTGATTTGTGTATAATATTTGAGATGGTACAATTACATTAAAGGTAACAATACTTTTCTTTATGGGGACTTGGCCTTTTTTAAAGTACACATGAAACTTTTTAATTAAAGACAAAAAATAAATCTGATTCCATTTCTCATCCTCACAAATTTGCAGCAAATAAAGTTCACACTAAAAATAGACCAATGGCGTGATAAACATGATTACAGATGCCAAGTTTCAGACACACATACACACCAGCAAAATTTGTTAAAATTAAACCCAATCTTACTCTCAGGTCAGTCAGACTACAACTACACTGCAGAGCTTTTCTGCGATACCGGAGATATCCCAGAAAAGCTCTGCTGCATCCAAGGACGTAGCAAAACTTTTCCAAGTTTTGGAAAAGCAGACATGTTTTTTCGGCATCCCTGTAAAACTCATTCTACGAGGAAGAAGGGTTGTTGTGAAAGAGGAGATAAGCCAAATGTAGGAAAAGACTCTTTCGGAAGAAAAGTGGAAAAGGATAAACAAATTGCAGTTCTCAATTTGCATATCTTTTTCCAACTTTTCCCTGCAGTGTAGACATAGCCTCAGTGGCTAAAGTTCTACTAGCTTCATGGGAACAGACCCAGCTCCATGAACCAGGATTATTAAGAGGCAAAAATTATACTTGGCCAAACTAAATATTCCCATCCAGTCCTCTTTTTACATTAGTTTAAGAATAGAAAAATATTAAAATATTTACTATGCCCTTTAATTTTTGAAAATTTAGATTCTGAAAACAATTTTAGAGTTGATTTCTAAAGAGGAAATATGAATACATTTTATTTTGTATCTAACAAACATTTTCTTTGGATCTCATAAAATACTTATGCTGCAATAAAAGTGACTTACAAAAATATTTTCCTAGACACTGTCAGTAAACATTTTAGTAAATAAACAATACATTTGTGTAATATGTACAGTATAAAGATGTACACACAAACACTATACTTCAGATACTAGAATACTAAATAACTATCACTTGGTCATCTTCAGTTTCATAGCAAGAAAAAGTTTACATCACCTGCAGGAGGCTGAACCTGGGACGGAGCTGGTAAAGCAATGGTTGGAACTGAAAGAGTAAATACTTCTGCTGGAGACTGAACAGATGGGGTATCTTCTGCTGGTGGTATAAAATCTATTTCATCATCAAAATTATCTTCAAATTCCTGTAAAGGCAAAGATGTTAGGAAACCAGCATAAAGAATTTTACTGCCTTCAAAGTGGAAGACTAATACGCTTCATCAGATTTAAACATGCAAACTTGACTACATCAAAAATCATTAGCTCAGGAGTGATCCCCCTCTACCCCCCATCCAGAGGAAACTGTAATGTGTGTTATAATATATTTAAGGGATTTTGCTTTTTTTAAAATACTAGGGAATGGTGCCCCTTGCTCACTGAGCTCGCCAACCCCATCTCTGGGGGGGTAGGCAGCCTCAGCTCTCCTCCTGGTTGCCAGGGAGGCCCAGGCAGAGGCATGGCAGCCCTAGTCTGCCTCCTCCCCTCCCAGCTGCTAGGTGAAGGCCAGTCCAGTGCTGGGCCAGTCCCAACTCTTCCTCCCCCACAGGAAGGGCTGAGGCTGGGCCAGCCCCCACAACCTGTACTTCCATTTGATTGCCCTGCACTCATCATCCTCCTTAACCCCACTACACCCCATCCTGCCTACGCCTACCACCACCTCCTTCCTCCATTCCTACAACCCCATCCTACCCTAACATCTCCCCACCCCCACACTGCCCATGACCCTTCTCCCATTCCTATATCCCCCACCATCTCCCCTTACTGCACTGCCCATCCCTACATATACCCTATCCTCCCCACACATACACTGCCCCTTCCCACGAATTTGTCAAGCTACCCCCTCCCTCCCCCCAGGAGCACCACTGGGCCATGAAGCACAGCCCTGACCACTGGAGCAGGAGCCCCAGCCTTTCTGCACGGGCCTGTTGGGGCTGCTTTTTTCTGTGGTGAGCCCAGAGCACAAAGAAGCCACCATGGACAGCTGGGGACATGGCTGGGGTGCAAGACCTGCCCAGCTTACAGCAGGCCCACCTGAGCCCCGGCCTCGCAGAGCTAAGCCTCAGGGGCTGGGCAAACTGGGGGTGGGGCCCAGAGACAAGCAGACGCTGGTCATAGGGGTGCATGGGGATGCAGCCACTGTCCTCCCATTTCACAGAGCAGTCACATAGTAAGGACTCCTGATGTCCCGCAGGGAAAGGTTTTTTTTTTTTTTATAAACAGAGAGAAAAAAATTCATTCCGATTTAATTACTTTTCCAATTCTCTAGTAGTTCAAGCAGCTTGAATTTCTCATCAATAAATCACTTCCATTTTTTAAAAAGGGACTTTATTTGAAGATAAGTTTCCCAGTCGGTCCTGAATTTCCAAAATCAATAATCAGTAGCAATAGCTTTAAATAATCGTGAATGAAAAGAATAACCAGTGTGTTGTAAGGTAGAAGAAGCACTGCTAGCCTGATGTGCTGAAAAGATCTTACTGGCATAAAGATTTCAAAAGATGCTGCCCCAGGATAATGTAAATAGCTTGATATTCTTTCTACATTATCTCAAAGCAGCAGAGCCTAAGCGTCGCTTTCAATAAGTCAAAGTAATCCCAAAATTCACAGAAATCACAAAGACAGCTGTATTTGCATGCTGATCAGAATTTTTAGGCAGAGTTCAGCTATTGTTGGGTTGTAACTTCAAATTACTTAACAGGAGTTCAGTAATCCTGTCAATATGTAAAAATAGCAATTAGACAAATAAAATATAGGATACATATAGGAAGAATTGATCTTTAACGGAAAGACTTGCGAAGTATTAAAATAGGAAAATTAGCAGCAAATGTATACACTTGATAACTTTTTACTGTAGTATATTACAAGTAACTTGCTGTAGTGTGCACTCTGCACCAAATCTGCACTTATTTGTGTTTGATATTACAGAGCATGCAAGCAACTGCAAAATTTGGCCATCACTGGATAGTGATGTTCTGAATCATTTGCATGTTAGTTATATCATTATCCATCCCAGATTACTTTTGTATCTTTTTTAGCTTCACTGCTTACCTTGAAGTCTATTTCTGGATCTTTACAGCAGGACACACAATTCACAAGCAGTATTACCAGGATTACTAAACTACTTGCAGCCACAGCTACAAAAGAGGAAGAAACTTCAGTTGCATCTGTTTCCCCTAGAAATAAAACACACATGCAGTTTTAAACAAATGTAAAATGTAAACTACCTTTAAAATGTACAGTGCCAACCACTATTTACATTGCAAGATATAAATTAGTTTTAAGGTATTGCAATTAAACACCCGTAGCCAACTTGTCCACTAACTCAGGCTTGCGGGGCTATAAAACTGCAGCGTAGACATCTGGACTCCGGTTGGAGCTAAGGCTCCAGGACCCTCTTTCCTTCCTCCTGCTTCCAAAAAAAGCTTGAGGAGATGCTAAGCCCCCATGAATAGATTATCCACTTACAGGCTGGAGAACCAAGCCTTACAGGGTACAATGGAGCAGCTCTGAGCAGAATGCCATGCTCTTCAGGGACAGAACATAGAAATACAGGCAGTCCCCGGGTTACGTACAAGATAGGGACTGTAGGTTTGTTCTTAAGTTGAATCTGTATGTAAGTCGGAACTGGCGTCCAGATTCAGCCGCTGCTGAAATTGACCGCCAGTTCTGACTTACATACAGATTCAACTTAAGAACCCCAAGTCAGCTGCTGCTGAAACTGATCAGCGTCTGATTCCAGGAAGCCCGGGGCAGAGCAACTGTGCCTCGGGCTT